GGGAGATGTTAAAGTATTAGGTTGACTAAGCCCAAGCCTAAAAAAGGGAAAGATCACTTCAGGGCGTGAGGTGTGAAAGAAATATGGGTCATGTGGCTTCGATGGAGTATGTGGGCAGGAGTTGTATGTATGTACATATATATGTATATATATATTAAAATAATTATTAACTCACATATGTAAAGTGTATGTTCACTCATTTTTATCAAGATATAAGTACTTCACTTTCTACTGGAAGCCTCTGAATATAATACTTTTCGTTTTTACCCTGTTAGGATTTTTTTCTCTATAAGTTGTCACCTTCAACCTCTCGTCAATCTATTTTACTTGAGATTTCTTGTGTTTGTTATTGATTTCTCTTGCAGATCTATGATGATGAAAGTTCTAAATGACTTTTTTTTATACATTTTTTTAGTAATTTATTAATTTTATTGAAAGACAAAAAACAAACCACGATATCTTGATGTTCACTTGAAATTGAGTACATGGCTTTGGTAGCTACAACAAGTGATTCCATTGAACTCCACATTTCATAAGAGAATTAAGCATCTAGCGATTTTTATTAGTATAAAGTGTGTGTATATATTCACAGTTGTTTTTCTCCTTCAAGGAATAAGAAAAACAGGGTTCTTCTTCCGGATCTGCTACAACAAATATATTTTTTTAAAATTTAATTGTAATATTGTAAATGATTCAAAAACTGACAAAAAATAATTTATCATGTAAAATTATAAAATAAAACGAGAGTGGAAGGAATGTAGGACATATACGAAACCAAAATGTGTTCCAGCTAATTTCTTAATATTATAAAACTTAATTTTGATTATTAAGCAATAATTAGTTAATTAGTTCAACTAAACAATATTTTATTTCTTAAGCACACAATTTTTATAATTAATTTATGAGGAGATTATTTATTTCATATTATAACTAGGTTGGTTTTAGTTGTGAGTGATTTTCTTCTACTAATTACTTTACTATTCTACAGTTATATATATATATATATATATATAAATCAATAATTCTTTTATTTTTTGAATATAACATACCAAACCTCAATGCCGGTAGTTACGGACATTAGTACAATATTTTCAACTAGTGGAATAGATAAATATTAAATAGATAACAGAATTATACTTTGATATACATATCTTGTGATGAGATAATTATTTGTTTACACATAACTGATGTATCTAAATTAATTTATAAATATAAAATAGAAACTAATAAGGTTTTCTTCACCATCTTCTATTGATCTTGAACTTTTTCTCATCTCCTCTAACTTGAATGAGCATGAATTGGGGTGAGCTTCGCGAGCTCAGTAAGAAAAAAAATTCTATAACGGAGACTTACGTACATATATTCATGTAATATATAAAATAAAATAATATTTATAATGAATAAAATATCAAATAAAAATCTCAATCAAAATATACAATAAAACAGAATTCATCACACGAAATATATTTTAATCTTCACTCTTATAACTTAATTCTTATTCTTATTTCAAATCAAACTCACACTCGAAATATTATAATACACTCAAAATATCACATTCAAAGTTTAGTCGCGTGATGCAGTTTATATCATCATCAGGAGAGGCGAAATGGATTCCTCCATCGCATAGATAGCACACACACATAAATTTCACAATGATCACAATAGTTATATTTGCTAGGGACCCATACTCACAAGTACCTATCCACGTTTGGATTAGGTTTCAAACTCTATCCATGTGCAGATTCACCATACCTGTTGAACTTCAGCTACACACGCACCTTCTCCTCCTCAATTCAGACTAAATGAGTAGGTATTAGGGTCCTCACACTCTAACTCTTTTCAAATCTCTCTCATTTCTAATTCACTTATTTCATACTTAAAATCTTAATTTCTATGCATAATTAAACATAAATACACATAATATTATCACGCACATCAGAGATATATATTTTAAACCACTTTCTGAATCATTTTGTACCAGATCAAATAGCAAGCACATGATACTCAGATTTTTTGCGTAACTGTACCAAATCACACAGCAAGCGCAGTGCACCGTACATCTGCACCAAATCACACAGCTAGTGCAGTGCACTCAAATTTCACACGTACACACACTGGTTATACATTTTACATGCATAACATATGTACACATATTTTAATATACACATATATACTACAATGCAATCATGTATTTTCACTACATATCTTGAAAAAAATATATATTTATATTCACATACACAATCTCTACCGATATATACACACGCGTTCATACTTAAACATGTATACACAATCTCACATTATATACCATATATATATATTTATTTACGCATTTGTTCTTATTAATTTTTATCTCATTTATTGTATATTTTTATATATATACACACATGCATAATAACATATATATACACTATATAAATATAAAAAAATACAAATTAGACATACTAATTATATTCCTATTATACTACACATACATTTAAACATTCACACACAATGTATTATACATATACACATTTATATAAATATATAATTTATATTTTTGTACAGAATACACATAATTCTTATTTATAGTGTGATCAAGAAAACTTTGAAAATCCTTTATACCTCGATCTATTGTCCTCTCAAAAATTCGAATACTGGTTGGATAATTTTTCTCATTTATAATAGAAAATACATAAATTAAATTATGAATAATTTTAAAAATTATATTATAAGAAATTAAGAACAAATTTTATCTTGGAACATGCGGTCCAAGTGGCCAACATCACCGTACGTCATTATATGCGTGTTACCAAAAATAACAGGTGCTGATGATTGAATAAGCGCGCGTAGTCGCATGCTGCGCACCAAGATCATATTTGGTCGACACCCTTTCATTTTTTCTTATTTCATTTCATTTCTTTTGTTTTTCTTATTTCTCCTTTCCTGCAACTCCTCTCCTCCTCTTTTTTTTTTTTTTTTTTAATTTCTTCTTTCTTTCTTCTTCTTCTTCTTTCTTCTTTCTTCCCTCTTTCTCTCTCTACCCACTGCGTGTCTTCTCACTCTCTCTCCTTTTTTTTTCTCTCTCTAACCGATGGCGATTCCTCTCCTATTTCTTTCTCCTTCGATTGCAGCATCGCACAACACCGTGCGACCCTTCTCTCTTTCACGTCGATGCCGCTCGGCCCTCTCTTTTCTCTTTCTGTTTTTTTTTTCTTCCTCTCTTTTCTTTTTCTGATTCTTAATTATATATATATATATATTATATGTCCACGTGTTTTCTTCTTTTGTGAATTCGTGTGCATTCTATTTAGAAAATTAATGATATTTTGAAATATTATTGTTTTTATTTATGTTTTGATTCTTCTATAATTATATATTTTTCTGAATGAATACACACATATATATATATATATATATGTTTTGATGTATGCAAGAAAGACACTTGGGACTGGTATGCTCGTTTTATTGTTTATAAAAGTCAATTAGAGTAATTAATCCAAAAGGTTGAAGAGTCAAAGCTAGAAACAAATAAGGTGTTTTTTATTTTTTTAAATATTCCTCCTGTCTTGACATGCAAATCGAGGTGAGATTGAGCTTTCACTTTCATTAGAGAAAAACTTGTTCAAATGGATTTTTATTTACATTTATAGATAAAAATTGAAGCATTTTAATTAAAATAATAAAGATAAAAATAATCTTTAGAAAACCAAAAAATATATATATATATATATATATAATAAGAGTTTTAGATTTATAGGGTATTTACTTTTTAATTTGGTCAACAGCATTTGGTTTCTTTCCTGGGTTGGCATCTTTACGACTTTTATGGCCTTCGAGTTTTGAAGGATCTGGATGGGTGAATTTTCTCCATTTTTGCTTATCATTATTTTCTCTTCTCTTTCTCTGCCAAGTTTCTCAAAAGAAATAATTTCAAGTTCTGCCCCACTACTTTCTTATATTCAAACTCTGCCCTGCTGCCAGGAGCGTTTCTATCTCCGACCTCTGCTGCATGCAAAATCACAAAAATGGATCGACAAAAACACTGAAAATTCCATACATCATAGACAGGACAAACATAAATCCAGTTCGGAGGACTTCCTGCTCACAAAATTTGGCCCAAACATCCAATGCACGAAAAAAATATTATATTTTCTCACAAACCATGGCAGCATATTAAATGTTACAAAACCAGGAGGAACTCGTTCCATCTGACTTTCAGTGAAAAATGGCAGCCTTACAATCTCCATCTTCTGGGTAGAGACCATCTAAAACGTCTAGAAATACGTGTGTATACGCACACGCAAACGCACACGCATGCACATATATATTGGCAACAATCTGCAGTCTGAATATCCACTAGATTACTAACTTCAGCTAGGAAAAAGAGAATCACGGATAATTTTTCTTCCACACAGCAAGAAATAATACCTTCCTATTTCAACACCAAGGTCACAGAAAACAATTTTGACTCGATTAAAATTTTTTTGCGCTCGAATGCCCTATACAACTGTGATTTTTACATTATGTATTGCACAGTTCAGAACCTATTAACTGAAAGAAACAAAGGCACTTGTAAAATTTAAACCTTGAATTGTATCCTTACAAATGCCAGGTTATGGTTCCAAGAAACCACGAAATCATTCTAATCCTTACTGCTCAATCTGAAAATTATACGTCCCTTCGATGAATCATAACCACTTACTTCAACCTTCACTCTGTCACCCGGCAGTATACGTATAAAATTCTTTCGGATCTTTCCAGATATATAACCAAGAATCAAATCTCCATTATCTAAGTTCACACGGAACATGCCATTGGGAAGTGATTCAGTAATTAGACCTTCGAGAACTGACTTTTTGCCTCCTTGCTTCGCCACCTGCTTTACGAACATGTTTTTATCCCCTCCAGCCCTCCTGCCACTCGATTTCTGGCAACGTATTGTTGATGAAATCTTCGTGACGCCATTGTTTAATCCGAATTTGAATTGTAATTGTACTGGGCTGTTAGAAGAAAAAAAAAAACAATTTGGGTTGGAAACCTGTTTGTATTGCCGGCATCGAATACCAAAGTAAGAAACAATTTTGGGAAGAAAGAACAAAAGAGACGAACCAAATGAATCAGCTTTCTCCATCAGAGACGAGAAATTTCTATAAGTGAAAAGGGAAACACAGAAATCCGAACCAAAATAAGAATGACTCACTTGATAAAACAGCAACCCGGTACTGCTTGTTGATGCGGAATAAACAGTGGCTTGGATTGAGGAGGGAGATTGAAGCAGAGTTGAAGCATGGCTGATCTTATCCTAAAACCCTAACTGGCTGATACACGGGTCTCTGCTCATGGCTTTGTATTTATCTTGCTGCTGTTTATTTAAAAAAAATAATAAAATAATTGGATTTATTTATATATTTATATTTTCAGCTAACCTCTAAACATAATAAATATTTATAAAATAAAATCTAATTTATTCTAAAAACAGAATGTAAAGGTTTTTAAATAGAAATCACTAAATTAAATTAGAAATGAAAACTTGTAAAATTGAATTAGTAATATATATTTTGCGGTAAAATAAATTTTACTCTATGGTTTTTACTCCTATTTACTAATTGCCATTTTCATGGGCTAATTGTAAAATTTAGTCCTTAGTTTTTTTTTTATCTTTATTTAAATATCCAACTTTTTTATTTCTAAAATTAATAATAAATCAGTGCTTTAATTGAATTTTAAAGTTAAACTGATGTTTTATATGTTTTAAAGTTACACAAAAAATTAATTATTAATTAGACGGTTTATTCATATATATTTATTTATTTTATCATGCTACAGAAATAATCAAATGAAATTTTAAAAATTTTGTATAACATACCAATGCAGCAGCCCCACCAAAACCTGGTTATTATTTATTACATCCTAACTTCAATTTCATAATTTCCACAGGGATGAGAAAGATTAAAAAAAAAAAAAAAAAAATCCAAACCAGAATTACCATCCTTCAAAAAAACAAACTAAAGTTTACAAAGAGGCTATCCCTGAAGCCGTGTATCAGAAAACTTAAAAACTTCTTTCTACTTTTCACAACTACCAAAGACTCTTACCAGTAATTTTCATTCTAGACTTACTGAAATCAAATCCAACCTTCTATTTCCTTTGTATCGTTGGATCACCAACACTGATGCCGTTGTTGAGAAATCACAAGAAGCCAATAAACTCCCAACAGGGCCCAGTTCAGGGTATTCGTTCCTCCCACTTAGAGCTAAGGCTACTTCACCTTCAGGCATTCGACCCACCAAGAAAAGATTGCACCGACTTACCTCACGAATCACGCCAATGGTTTCCGCTGCATTTCCAACAACCTTCTCTTCATAAAATATTGAATTCTCAGCTGATGCCTTCTGCTTAAACTGATTAAGGAAGTCCGAGTCTGACAATCCCAACTGGCTCGTTGAATTGCCATCATCAGTGTCTACTCTTACGATCTCTCCTACACTCGTAGATCCAATTAAGAAGTGAATGAAAGTCAAAGTAACACCTGGGTGCTCAGCCATTCGAGCCCCATAAGCAAGTGCTTCCCTGTCATCATGACCACCAAAGAAAAGGGCTGTAATGTTATAAGAAACGTTGCTTGCAGTTACCTGAGAAGTTCCACCCAGACCACGATCAACTAGAATTCCAACAGAACATGATGCATGCTCAAGAACCCTCTGGTTAACCCAGCGAAAGTCAGTTCTAGTAGTCTCCAAGGAACCATCCAGTCTCTGATGCTTGTGAAATGGAAGAATTATAATTGCTGCCCTCTTCAACTCAGCACTGGTACAAATGTCCTCGTGTATGTCAGACATTGAAGAGATGGCAGTCATAGGACGGACAGAAACCTGGCTCAATTGCTGAAAAGCCTCAAATGCAACAACTACATGATTGGGTCGGTTCTTATTCCAGAAAGGTAACCCATTTTTCCTCACATTATGGACCTTTAATATAGCTGAGGACCTTTCAGAGAGCTCCATGAGGTGCATCACATATGCACAAAGTCCATCATGCTTCACAATTCCTCGTGAAACCTCAGTAGATTTATTATTGTTGGGATGTTTCTGGCACTATGGAAACAGGCAAGGAGTCGAAGTTGACTTTCCGGATTTTTCCTTTCAATAGTCCTGTGCTTGTAGTCATCTGATCTCTTTGCTCTTCTTGCTGGCTTATATGCAGCCATGACGGCTGGAGTTGTTATGAAGGTTGTAAAAAGAGCCATTAATATCATAATAGCAAAAGTCTGATCATTGAGAACCTGAAAATACAACAGCTAAATTACTTTGGAAGAGTTGAAAAACTAAATATGATCATAATCATTTATCATATTAGCAAAAAACTGAGTTTACCTTTCTATCTTTACCAATGTTCAGAACAATGAGTTCCACCAATCCCTTAGTATTCATGAGGAACCCCAATGCTACAGCCTCACGAAGAGGCACTTTGCAAGAAAGAGTCACAACAACAGTGCCAACAATCTTCCCGAAACATGCTGTGAAAATGACAAGAACCAGAAGACCCCAGGACTGGAGCCCTTTAACTGAAGCAATATTTGTCTTCAGTCCACTAGACACGAAGTACAATGGCAGGAACAGACCAGATACGAGATCCTCAACTTTCTCCACAAGAGCACCAGCAAATGGTCCTTCCTTTGGGATGAGAACTCCAATGACAAATGCACCAAACATCGCATGAATTCCGATTGCATCAGTTACAAACCCAGCAGCCAGAACAACACCCAAGGTAGCACAAATATACATCTCTCCAACTGGCTCACCTTCATGGCATCTTTTAGACATCCATCTGAACACTGGGGGAATGATGATAATTGAACAGATTACAAAAATGCAGCCACCCAAGAAGACCCATAATGAAACAAGGGGAGAATGATTGGACCCAGATAAGGCAACCGCAAGAGCAAGCAGAATCCATGCAGCTACATCATTGACAGCTGCAGCTGACATAGCCATTCTGCCAACATCTGTGGTTAGAAGCTTCAATTCAGCCAAGATACGAGCTAAGACAGGGAAGGCAGTAATTGAAAGTGCCACACCCATGAACACAAGAAATGAGGCACCACCTAAACCCTTGGATATGGTTGCCTTGAGGATAAATGAAGAACCAATTCCTAATGCAAAAGGGAGACTAATTCCAGCAATAGCAATACAAAGTGCCTGCTTTCCAGTACGGCAAAGCGATCTCGGATCTAATTCTAGGCCAGCAAGAAATAAAAAGAAAATGAGGCCTAGGTTTGCCAGAGTATCTAAAACTGTGAGACTTTTAGGTGGAAATACAACTTGCAAATACTGCTTATTTCGACCCAGAACTGATGGCCCAAGTATAACTCCTCCCTATCAAATGAGCAAAGCAAAGTCACTAACATTAGCGTAGAATAACTGTTATGCTCTTGCTGCTACTATATGTAAAAACATTAATTTGATGCAGCATGATCTCATGGTTTCTATAAACCTCATATAAAGATCATACAATTAACAAAAAATAAGTAGCTCATTCTGTAAATTAGTATGCAGAAATCACTGTAACACAGTTAATTCAGGGCTTGAATTACAGAAGAAGAAACTGAGAGAATGAGAAAACTAAACAAAAACTGAATTAGATCTTGAAAGACACAAGAATATCCAAAAAACACCTCAAAGCACCATAGCCAAATGGACCGTTCAAAATACCGAGAATGATAAGTTCATTTTCTAGTTCATTATACCGCAATACAAAAAGCTGGAAAATTGAATCTTAAAGCTTGTGAAAAATAACAAACTGAAAGAAGAGCAAGGAGCTATGATACAGGATTAGCATGGGCAACAAACAATGAAATTAAATAAGCAACATGCACAATTTTTTATTTTTTTTGGAAATGAAAATAAGCAACATGTACAAGTGGTCGATAAAATTTTTCTCTCTCATAACCATATTCGTACTAAAAATTCATGCAACTTTGGATATCTATAGCAAATTTTTAAATAGTTTTATCTTAAATGATTAGTTGATAAAACAAGAAATTTGCTCGTTCAAACTAATTATGAGAGACATATAACATTTTTTTAGTATAAACTGCCATAGCCATTAATTGATTCTATTTGACATTCCTTAACTCATCATTTGAGTAAACCAAGAACGGACACATTAAAAATAGACTTAGTTCTTGCATCTCTTATTGTCATGGTATATTATTGAAATGGTCAATGGAAGCATATAATGTCACTCTACATGGTCCAGACAATGTGGAGTCATTGGGATAAAAAAACCTCATAAAACCCACTGGAGTGCTATTGTTTTGCAAAACTCTAATGGTAACAATTTATTTGTGAACCTTCAATTTGTATATCCCGCCAAATATATTGTGATTACACTATTTTTCTTTAAACTTTGTGTGTGGTAATCTCTTATAAGAAGACTTAAGTCCAGAGAGAGTTTTACCTTTTTTCCCTTTGAACATCAAAAGGCATATTAGTTTGGTTATGCCTAAATTGGGAAAGAGGCACTGTGCAATTCATGTGAAAGTGAAAGCTTAAAACCTTTAACTAAAGGTATTCTGTTGGATCTCTAACCTCTCACCTTATTTATTTTTATATTTTCTCTAGTTGTTTTCCTGCTATTAAATTTTAATATACTCCATATTAGTTGAAGAACATATATACCCCTCCTAGGTAATTATTTGCAACAACAATCATCAATAGTATCTGATCTGGGTTAAACAGAGTAGTGATCATGCATAAAGATACACGAAAGACCGGGAAAAATGAAAAGGAAACTCACAATGATCTCTGCGATAACACGTGGCTGTCTCAGGGGCCTCAGAAGAAAAGCAAGACCCCGTGTGAGAACAATTACCAGGCATATCTGTAAAATGAGAAGAGGAAGCTCAAAATCAAGCGGGTTATCACCCTGGAAGATGCCATTTGATGTAGCCTTCATTGGAGGTGGACATGTTTGTTCTGCTGTAGGACTGACAGCCATTTCAAGAAAACAGTGCCAGCGAAAAACAGTAATCTTTCACTTCTGTTCCTGCTAACAGAGGTATATTTCAGACTAAATTCTATATAAATAGTTTTAAGAAAAATTCAAAGCGAAGCAACAAAAATATTGTCATGCTAAGCCACCGAGATGCTAGTAATTATTATTGAATTCAAGTTCAATTCAATTTGGTGTTTTTGTCATTTTTTATTGATATGTGGGAACACAAATGCATAGTTGTGACACTAAAGATAGAAGTGAAGTTTATTTAATTATGCATCAGAATGAAAATTATGATTGCTTGCCATATATTAAACAACTAAGAGCTAGGAAATAAATTCAAATATAATTGGTTTGAACCAAAGGCAATATAAATGCCTATTTATTAAATAGGCAACTAAAGAAGTGCAACTTCCTGCAGATATAAAATGCATCTTCAAGGCACCTGAAGTTTAAAGTTTTCAATAGCTCGACCTACATTAATCCTCTTACGGATTTTGTCAGATTATTGCTAACATTTCTACAAAACTTAACATCTTGTCACTGGGACAATTTCTTTTGAAACGTTTTGTTCAATTGTTCTTTCATCTTCCCATGATCTCCTGGCGTACCAAACAGAGCTGCGCTCTAGAACAACATCAACTGTGTACAAACTAGACACATACAACTCATATTCGCCAGCTCGCTTTTCAATATTTCAAGTTCCACCTCCAAAAAAATTACAGATCACACACTAATATTAACTACTAAAAAATGCGATATAAGAACTCTGGCTTCAAGAAAATTTAAGAACCGACTGATAATTAAAGAAAAAGAAAAGAAGTTTTTTTTAAAAAAAAAAAAATTCAATTAGCGGCAAATATGATGGCAATACCCAGACTGTAACGGCTCCGGAAATTTAAATGAAATGTATGTATTAAAAATCTCAAATGCAGAAGTATAATAAAAATTTTGATTAACATCTCTTACACAATAACCAAAACGTACTCAAAATATGAAGGAACAAACTAATTACAAGAGATACTCGAAACAAGAACTATAAATATAATTATGAAGTCTTTAGGTGTCCCCTTCGCCGTCTTCCTGCGGAATCGGCTCGGGAACAACGTTTTCCTGATCTGAAATGGTTAAATAAGGAATGAGCTACACCAGCCCAGTAAAGACATCACATTATCTCACCGCCACGGAAGTAAAGGTGGGTAGAAAACAAAAATGACAAATGGAGTATAATTTATAACAAACTCGTTTATTAACATAAAAACCTTTATTGTCCACTTACCTCGGTGAGATTCATAAAAACAACATATGAAAGCAATAACATTATCATCATAATGAAA